CGCGGAACCAAATGGCCGCTGAGGTCCTTCTTGGGTCTGAGATGACAAAGAATCTGTTTCATTGAAAATATTTTTAAACAACGGTTTTAATTTCTGTATATTCAGCTTAGAGGAAAACAAAACAAAACTAGTTCCCAGTGATGGAAGTACATAGAGCTATGCTTACTAGGCAAGGAGGGAAAAAGCGGGGGGTGTGTGTGGGGGGGGTGTGGGTGTGGGTGTGTGTGTGTGGCAGGGGGTTAGAAACCAAATGAGACTACAGTGTAATTTACAGAAATCTATGCATCCGGGTGTATATGTGTGTACGCCACTATAGACATTAATATTAGTACCTGAGAAGCAAGACTAAATATACTAATACTAAAAACCTTAACTTCTGACAGATGGATAAAATTATTAATTTATAAAGAAAAAGTATGCGTAAGGAAAACGAATTAAATACACAAGTATGTACTGATGGCTGTAAAATCAGTCACGGTGAAGTTTCAGTCAACATGTATTATCGTACACTTATTCCCCCACCAAGGTGTCATCAATAACAAGACACAATTTAATAAGAGCGACAACTCACCGATCAGCCTCAGAATGGATGCGATGATGATGTCGGGGATGTATGCGATGTTCGCGTGTCCTTTCCGGTATTTTATCCACTTATCCATTACAGGCCACAGCTCCTTACTGTAAAGTAATAACGACAGACATATACATAAATGAAAATGTGTATGCGCATCATCAAATATTAAGAATCTATCCTAAAAATGATCCATAAGAGATAGACAGTGAAGACAAACTTCTGAAAATATAATTTTTTGGCTTAAAACGAGAGGAGACACTGGAAGCTCACACTCTCCAACGACTCAGGGTACCTGTGCCTACACTGGCTTAAAAGAAGCTAAAAATGCCCATGCTTGCATCTTTATTCTCCATTTCAACCCTTTTTACAAGACTTAATGTAGAGAGGTCCAACAATGTCCCCAATTCACAGAACTGGCAGTCGAGGAATCTGGGTTTTCACTTAGACCCTCCGGACGTTAAGGTAGCACCTGCGTTCTAGTCGCCTACAACTTCCTTGGGAGGAGCAAGGAAAAACAGACTGCATTTGGAAAAAGAACTAAACCAGGGGAAATCACCAAACTACGCTTCACATGGACTAGAGGAACCATCTCCTCACTGGAAACAGTGCCATTTCCTTTTGCTTTCTCTTCTTTCAAAAAACGTATTTCTCACATAGCATTTACGATCTTAGAAAAGCTAAATGCAGACAGACAAAAGAAAAGTGGACATTAAAAGGAGCCCGGACTGCACGCCGATAGTGAGCACCCTCCTGACTGCGCCTCTCTTTCCACACGCCTCCCCCTGGCACGCGTGTGAAAACACGGCGGGAGTGACCGCTGTCCCACGTAGCAGTCAGGGCCCGGAGTCGCCCAGGCAGACCTCCTGCTATGCAACACCCTGTCATCAGCAGTGAGGACTCTGAACAAAACGCCTCTGGCTGGCACCGCCCCCGGCGCTCTCCTCCATCCCTGGGGACAGAGTGGCCCTGCTGCCTGGGCTCCCACTCCCACGAGTCAGGATGATGAGGCCCACCGCGGGCACACACACGTCACTCCACAGGCGGCACTGTTGGTAACAGACTACGCGACACTTCAGTACCCTGCAGACCATAAAGATCCAGGCGCAGCTCTTTCGGTCCAGCTCATCACGGAAACGCGCCATCATCCAATGCCCCACTGCTGACGTTTAGACGGATGAGCGTTCCCTTGTTTAGGAGGGAAGAAAAGAGAACAAATCTCCACAGAATACACCCCTCGAGGACCTCGAGGACAGGGACAGCCACTCCTCAGGCGAATCCCCTCCAGCAACTACTTTCTCCATTCCCACAGACGGCACACAGCTGGTAGCAGAATTCTCGACGCACAGGGAAAAGTGAGCGCAGAGCTTGGCTCTCTCCTGGACCCGCGGTGAGCAGAGCGGCTGCCCTGGCACATGGACGCCTCTGCCCACGCGGCCCCGCGCAGGTCTGCGTTAAGGTCACGGTCACCGCGCTCAGCCTTGCAGATCTGCTGAGCGCTCCCTTGCGCGGGGACTGCCCCACAGCCTGGGGGTGCCGGCGGACCAAAGGCCTCCCTCGTCAGAGTCATTTCTCCTTGAGATGGCAGTTAACAGACTATAAGGAAAGTAGTGACTGGTCCCACCAAAGAATAAAACGAGATGTGGCAGCGGCACAAGTTCTTCAGGGGCGGCTCTGTTAACTAACCCCAATCCAAACGCTAGCTGTAAACGGCTCCTCTGCACTAAACGGCACACACGGTGCAAACCACAACTCAACGGCTCCAGTGTCCCGACTCCAAGCTGGCAGCACCCCTGTACCTTATGATGTTATCGTGCGTCCAAACCCACTTCTGATGGCAGCAGAGCAGGTCGATGGCGAATATGTACTCCCACGTGTTATCACTTAAGTCTTCACCAAATCTTTCACTGGACTGAAATTCTGTTTTTGGACATAACTGTATGGTCAAAAGCAGCTTAGAAACCATGAAGCCAACATCTGCAGGCGCATTCTAGCAAACAAACAAACAAAAAATTCAGTGTCAAGTATAACCCATCTTACGGTAGTAATTTCAGAGTTTAACAAGTATCAGATGAACAACCACTTCATCTTAAAAGACACCATTGAAAGTTGTACTTTGAGTAACGAAGTGTTTATCTGAGTTATGGCCTGTGTCCTAAAATGATGAGAACGGGGCTGACAGGCCCGATGGCGATGCTCCGGCAGGATGCACAACCCAGGCAGGCAGGAGACAGACCGGCTGCAGTCCAGGTTGGAACGCAAATTCTCAGTAACTCTAATTAGAGATCTAAAGTTATAAAGTTAACTTATGACAAAAAAAATCAAACCCTTAAAAAATATTTTAAATTCTGCTCTTTCTGACCCTAACTATCAATGTGCTTTTTCTGGAAATTCATAAACTTGGGTCGGACAGTCGCACTCCTCTACCTGGCCTCTTTCACACCTGTGCGCGTTTTCTGGCGTGTCCCCACGTCCTCGTGCACGGGTGGTCCCAACGCTCCTTTTCATGGCTGAGTGGACCATTATAAGAGGCCAGAGTCCACCCACTGGCCTGACAGACACCTAGGGAGTCCCGGCTTTCGGCTCTACTTCATAACGCCCCTGTGAGCATGCACGCACAGCCCTCATGGGGACACAGGCGACTTGTCTTGGGTAAATACCAACAGTGGATTTATAATTTTTTTCTTTCTCGTGTTATCTTTTATTGGGTTTTGTTATTAAAAATGAACAGGGAGATGTCGATCTTTTTCTACCCCTGAAAAAGACTGGAATCACTTGGTTCTTTAAAGACGAGACAAAATTCAGGTGGATCCTAAACATGCTTTTTGCACAGTACGTTTTAATCATCTTTTTCTAACCTCTTTGATAACCAAAAACAACTGGTTCATTCAAGTGTTCTACCCCTAAAACCAATTTTGGTTAAGTTTCACTTCGCTAAGAAATCACCCCGGGTTTCTGAACCTGTCGCTCTATAGCTGCAAGAAGCAGTCTTCAGCCATCATCCTGTATCTGTAGATGTCTTTTTTCTCAGTTGGAATCCTGGATATTTTTGCTTTTCTCTTTTTTTATTAACTTGAACTGAATTATCAGTTTGTTAGTATTTGTACAATGTTTTTTTTTCCTATTTTTTTTATTTGATTACTGTTACTTTTTAAAGTATATTCTTTTTTCCTAGATTCCTTCTCAGACTTTTAAGATGATTATCAGCCCACTTTATTTATTATCTGTTTAATAATAAAGACACTTAAAACCATTTTAATGAGTATAGATTTTCCCAAAACTAGAGACCTAAGGTACGAAAGCTTTTCCTTTTCAATGATTTTTACAAGACTGTGATTTTACTTTTGACTTTCTATTTGTTCCCAGATTGTCCAAGGCTGTGTATCTAAATTTCCAAGTAATTTTTATGAAATCTGAATTACTTATGTCTAATTTTATTGAATTATTACCAGAAAATTTTGAGTGCAGAATCTATACTTTTTAAAAATTAAGCTTTTCATGTGGCCAAACTCATGACTGGTTTTTGTAAATGTGCCACAGACATATGTGAAATACATATTCTTCATTCAAGTTTACCTGTTGTAATACTGAATTCCACTATATGTGTACTGATTTTCATCGATCAGATCTGTTGAATTCTGCAAGAGAATTTGTGAGTCTTGAAGTATAATGGTATTTCCAGCCCCCTTAAGTACTCCTCGTTTGTTATTTGCTATAACAGGATAATTAAGTACATTTATCAAAATTCTTCCTCCTCTGTAAATAATGTCTCTTATCATCACATCTGGCCTCATCCTGAACCTGCAGGGGTGGGGGGGGAGTGTGGTTCTCACAGTGGAGGCCCATGGGGGGCGTGGAGGTGTACATCAGGGGAGGCAGGGGCCTGCTGCCCGCTGGGTGCCTCACACGCACACTCTGGTTTGTTAAGATGCCCTGCTGAAGAAATGATTACACACTTGCTTTTTAATATTTTCCTAACTTTTATCCAATAACCCTTTCCTTTACTCTTTATAAGTCTAATAGTGATGTCAAAAATACTAAAACACCAATCTAGATACTATATTAGCACATCGGTTACTACAAAAAATAAAACAATAAAAGAAAACATAGAAACAAAATACTTAAAACAAAAGAATTCTATCAACTAGAAAGAAAAAGAATACGAGATTCAGATCATGACAGGAAAGGGCTGCGATACCAATTTTTCCACATCTCTCAGTACCTAGTGTGGAAGCGAGTGATTTACATCTCTCCTTGGAGCCTTCACACGTGTGTAAATATGTATGAGCTTCACTAGTCACTAATTAGTACACGACAGAAATTTTGCAGAATTAACACAATACATAGGTCCAGTCTTCCCAAAGGGTCTCGCGCATACTTAATGAGCAAGATGCAAAAGCAAATGCCTCTGAATGAATACAGAACCAAACGCAGAACCCAACAACATTTCTGTACGATCTATAAGCATGATATTACAAAAAATGAAAAGAAGCCTCACCTTTTCCCAGTTGAGAAAAGCTCTCAAACAGTTCAGAACCTCTCCCTTAGCACGCTGCCTGGCAACTAACTGCATCGCCTTATTTATCACCGACGGAGAGATAAATACATCATGCCACATGTTTGCAATGAACAAAGTCAATTTTTCTGACTCTGGAAAATCTATAAGAAAGAAAATAAGACAATAAACCTCTACGTCTGATCAAGTGAATCAATTACGAACAGAATACATTTCAGTAACGTCGCTGGTGCCTGGCGAGGCTCCCTCTGGTGGAGGGAGCAGCCCGCTGGGCCTCAGTTAAGCCCGCTCCTCTGTCCCACTGCCCTTCGGCAAGCACTCTTTAATTAAATTTTAAACATAATCCGGGGATACGCGCCACCGTATGAAAAAGGCAATAAACTCTAAAACGTGAAGGCGAGGCCAACACCCGCGCGGCGGCCTGGCCCGGTCCCGGAGCCCTCCCCTCAGGTTTGCGTCATCTCGGGCCATTCTGTTATGCACTTCCGAGAGAAGTCACTTGAAGAACACACAAAGCTTTCGGTTTGAAGAGATAACTTTTATGAATTATGGATGATAATCTTTTGTTGTAAATGCCTTCTCCCAAACTGTGGTTTGTCTTTTGTTTGTTCAATCAACTTAACAGAGGTATAGTTTATATACAATAAAATATACACCTTTTCAGCGGTTTGATAAATTTTGAGAAATGAACACACCATGTACTTCCCACCACAATCAGTATGTAGAACACTGCCCCGCCCCGCCCCCACCCCCACCAATCTCATGGCCTGAGCCTCCCGGTGAGTCACTGCTCTCCACATACAGGCAGCCGGACCTGCGCCCAGCCGCTTTAGTCAGCATGCCTAATTACGAGGGGCACGCGTACTCCTCCTGTCTGGCTTCCCCGATCCGCACACCGTTCCCGCGGCTCGTCCACGCTGCTGCACGCACCGGCAGTCCTTCATTTATACAAATGAGGAGTGTGCAATGGCTCATGCACCAGGCTCGCTCTTCATTCACCTGCTCCTAGTTATAGGCTATTATGAATTAGGATGCTGTGAGTACCTGTGTACTCGTCCATGTGAGGCCTATGTCTCTATTTCTTATGGATAAGTACCAGGCAATTAAATGTCTGGGTCATATGATAAACTAATGTTTTAATTTTATAAAAAACTATCAAGGGATTTTGCAATGGGGGCAGACCACTCAACATGAAGATTTTTTTATCCTGCTGGGCATGAAAATCTTTTTGGTTTCCTCAGTTTATTTGATCTAACATTGCAACGTGTTTAAAGAGTGGGTAACTCAAAGCAGAAACTCAATGCACTATTTTGATGTTATTTTTGAAATCTCGTCCATCTGGTTCAACTTCCTTATGGCCCGGGACTTCTTCCCATGTTGTTCCCTCTGCCTGGAATCTTCTCTCTCACTTAGGTATATTCTTGAGTCTTCATATCTCAAGTTCAAAAGTCACTCTGACAAGGAAAGCTTCCCTAACCCCCCAGATGCTCTCAAATCCGCCTTCCACAGGACAATCCGTTCACTCAACAGATGATGACCATGTACAAGACATTTTTCTGGGGTGGGGATACAGGGGGAACAAGACAGACAAAATTCCTGTCCTTACAGAGGACGCAATCTAGTGGCGATAAGAAACGAAAAAGTTAAGGATACGATGCAAGCAGGGTGAGTGCCATGAAGGACAGAGAGGGAGAATGCCTGAGGGAGTGTGAGCTCGCTGGGTGGGCCGTCCAATATCGTCCAACGTCGGGAGGGCCTGAGGTGAGAATGGGTCGGTTTGAGGAAGAACCGGAAATCCAGCCTGTGCTCAGCAGGGTCCAAGCCCTTCTCCTTCCTATGCCTGTGACCGCCACTGACAAAACGCGCTGTGCGCTCGCTGCATGAGGCTGCCGTGTTCGGGCCCCACTGCACTATCTCACCTAGGTCTGGTTTCGGTGCCCATCAAAGCCCTAAACTTAGCACCCGCAACTATCTGCTGAACAAATCAGTGACTGAAACAGTAAATAAAGAAATGAAGTGGGCAAAAAATAGCAACCTCATCCTCACTCCCGACTCTGAAAATGATGGATACATTCAATTATCCTGATTTATAAGCCCCACAAACATTATGGTAATAAAAGATCAGAAATCGCTGCAATCAAGATAAGACTTTCTGACATAACATGAGATTGCATATCATTTTACTATTTAAAAACGTCTCCACCGATGATCTGACATGAGGAAGAATGACTTCTAACGTCACCATGAGTGGAGACTGAAGAAATGGTAGCTGAAGGAATAGAGAATCAAAGGACAGCCCTCCTCGCCATTTCTCTCTGATCTTCTTCTTTCAACCAGCTCACGAGTCCCTCTTGGAGTTTCCGGCCTTTCAAGCTGGTGACACAGCAGTGTGGTTTGTCACTCACTTTAAATCATCCCTGTATCTTGTGTCAACTACATCTAATTCTAAAGTAGCTGCAAAAGGAATAAGACAAGCGCACAGTAATGTGAGACCCTCTAGTCTATGTAAGTGAAATGCTGACATAAGCAAGTTTAAATTACAGAAATTCCCCTACTGGACCCCAGGTATGGCCAGATCTAGCTACGGCTCTTCGTGCCCTCTAATAAAGGTACAAAACGGAACACGAACTCAAAAGATCCGTGGCAATTGCTTAGCTAAAAATGCAGACCCAAACAGAATGAGTTTTAAAGCAATAATATCTTTTGATACAAAAATGCCGCCACATGAACGTACCTTCCTTAAGGAGGCTGTAGCAAAACAAGCGAGCTCTTTCCACATCTCCGAGCTGCCGACAGATACCCACATACACTCTGCAGAGCGCATGGATGTAACTGTGCTCCATAGACACTTTCTGAAGTTTTAGTTCTGAGAGAATAGAGTGAAGCAAGCACTCTGCTAAATGCTGGAGTGGACGAAACAAAACAATGAAAAGGAAATGTAGACATGTTTATCTTGAGACTGCTACAAAATAGCTAAAAGTTACAACAGTAAATATCTATCAGAAAAACAGACCACTGACAACGCACTCAGCAGGTAACCAAGGGGCTCAGGGGGATAAGAAGTCCATACGTGTAGGCGCTGCAGGTGCAGACGGCAGGTCCGGGCACACCTGGCTGCCTGCTGTCACTACCATGGCTCCGATCAGTGTGCTGGCCTTTGCTACACGATCTGTGTGTAAGTGTATTAAACACACTCTACTCTACTCCCCTCCCGTTTTCTGAGCTCCAGTGCACTCTACATATTTATCCTGTTTAGATCTTAAAATATTAAGTAACATTTTTCCTGCTCAAGAATAGGCGCATTAAACAATGACACATTCATCCATTTGAAAATAGACATCTTCTAAAAATCACTTATAGTGCTCTATATGCTTTCTGAAAGTAAGCATCTAAGAAAAATAAACATGAGCATTACGAATCTGAGGGCACGACCCGTGCGACACTGGAAATCGCCCACACAAGGTGTCACCGCGGGTATTCAGAAGACAAGCCAATCAGTCCTCACTGCACGTGCGTCTGCACATTCACTGCCATCTCGAAGCTGAGCATCTACTCCTGTTTGATTTGCGACACACGTTAAGGAAGAGGGGAAACTCACACACGCTACCTTCTGAAAGACCCTCAAACTGTCAAACATGTGCATGACGCTTTGCACACACAGAAAAGCTCTACTAGGCAACAGTTATTTGACATTTGAAGCAAATCTTGTCAAGCCTTTAACATGCCGGAATCAATGGCAAATATGCAATCGTAGCCCTGACAGACATGTTTTTTTTTTAAGAGTTCGAGTTATTTGATGAATACAAATGATCAAGTCTCTGGAGTCTGACCACATTTCACATGTATAAAACCCTGGCTAGAAGTAAAGTACAAGTCACACTGCCCGTATGGGTAGCCTCTGTACTGAAACTCTGTACTGAGCCTCTGTCGACCTCTGTACTGAAACGCCTGTTGGGGTCCTCTGCCACCTTGCCTGGGCAGGCGGCCTGTCCCCATGCTCTCGGAGAGGAGCTGCCACCTACCTTCTTCGCTGTGCTGAAGTCGTAGACGACCTCTTTCTCTTCATCCCTCATCACCGGCTTTTTGGAGATATTTCCGACATACACGTGACTGCGGATGACAGGCAGCAGGTCGAAGGAGGACTCTGCAATCTTCCTCAGGGCATCAGCTATGGCTCTGTCGTGGGTCTCCACGGTTTCTCTGGGGCTCAGAGGCAGCTGTGAATCTGCACTGGTAGCTGCAACAGAATCTGCTCCCTCCTCTGTCGCTGTGACTTCCTCCTGAGGGAGGTCCCTGCAGGGGTGCTTGCTGACTTCTTCTGGGCTGGTGCTCCCCGTTTCCGGGCCTGGAGACCCGCTGTCCAGGCGCAATCTTTTAGCGCTCCTCAGTGTACACGATGGCAATGTCCTTTTCCCACCGGCAGCCTGGTTAGAGTCCCCGCCGGAGCTGCCCCCCGTTTTGACAAAGGCGGTGGACGTGGAAGTGATTGCTTTGAACCCTGTTATAGCGCTGACGGGCCCCGGTGCGTTCTGACGGTCAGCAGGCGGCCCTCGCGTGAGCTGGATGTTCCCTTTGAGGATGCTGAGGGTGCGGGCCCTGGCGGACAGCTCCGGGTACATGGTGTCCAGGATTTTAACGGAATTCTCCTGGGGAGCGGCCACGGCCGTGTGGGCCGACGCGCAGGGCGGCAGGCGGCCGGGCACAGGAAGGGCGTGCTTCGGCGTCGCCGCGCAGAACTGCAAGGGAGACGACAACGTCCTCTCCCCGGCGGGGGCGGCGGAGGGGGACGGAGACGTGCACAGTGGGGAGGCGCGCCCCGGCTCCTCCAGCGAAGGAGACGTCGCGGGCGGTGCTGCGACGTCACACAATGGAGAGAGCTGGCCGACGGGGGAGGTGGGCGAGGAGGGGCTGGAGCTGGAGATGAGCGGGGAGACCGGGTGCGAGCTCCTCGGAGGCGTGGCTATCAGAGGAGCCAGCAGGGGCGGCAGAGGGGGCCCCACCTCCTGCCGGATCTTGCTCAGCGTGTCGGCGGAACCGTCTGTGGGAGTGGACGTGTCGGCGTTGGCGAGGATCGTCTGCGTCTGCTGCCTCTGAGGCTTTGTGCCACCTCGGTCCCCAGACGACGACGGAGAGCCTTCCCCGGGGTTAGCTTCGGCTCTGCTGGATGCTGCCTTCGCCGGTTTGCTTGACTGATCTTTGTTTGAAATCTTTGCTCGAGGCTTATTTTTGCCAAACGGCTCTAGCTTCGAGTTGTAATACGTGTGATCAGACGCCACGATCTGAGACTCGAACACCTGGTCGTATATCTCAGCATTGATCCTTACACTAGGTTTGACAGGTCTATTTCGCAAACGGCTTTTATCAAAGTTGGAAGTCTGACCGCTGCTGGAGATCTCCTCCTGGGGACATGGCAGGGTACTGCCACAAGGGGGCTCCTGAAACGGGGAGCCACGGTGACCGGGCTCCGGGGACTTCTCCACCGGAGTAACAGACGTGAAACCGGCTGCCAGCCCTCCTCCATCCGGCGAAACGGGAACGTCTGCGGGGGCGTCGCACAGAATAACCTGGTCCACATTTGGCACGAGAGCGACCCCGTTTATGATGGTCCAGTTGTCCCCCTTCTCAATGACTAGGTTTTGGTCCTTATTTATCAGCACATTTATGACCTCGGAGGTCACTGTGGAGATCTGACACTGAAGCGTCCCTCCCGCCTGCTCCGCCCCCGAGTCAGCGCACTGGGAGGGGGGCGGGGCCGCGTCCCTGCTGGCAATCGGCCCGGTGGCAACGGAGCTGCCCTCAGGTCCGTCCTCGGTGTTTTCATGACTGGATGTTCCACCGGCGGGAGAACCGCCCTGAGCGTCCAGGCTAGGGGCTGGCGTGGGTGGACCCGAAGGGTGCGACGAGGAGCCGGCCGCTTCCGGAGCCGAGACTTGCTCCTCTGCGTGCTCGCCCCCCATGCTGTCGTGTATGCTGAACAGCAGCAGATTAGCGGCGTCTTTTCCATCCGGGTCCTCACAGCTGGACTGAAACTCCTGGCCGATCCTGCCCAGCACCTCGGACAGCGCCTCCAGCGAGCACTGCGCCAGCTGGCTGGCGCCCCCCAGCGAGCCGTCCTCGTCCTCTGATCCCACCCACTCCTCGCAGGTCTCCAGCGCTTCCTGTTCACAGAGCTGCTTTCCGTACTTTTCTCCCGACATTTCACTTTGCTTCATTTCTTCGTTCGTTTCTTTGTTTAGGATTTCTTTGCTAGAACATTCTGAAACAGAGTCCCCTGAACTATAATCTCTTAACTGACAGCTTTCAAGAAACTTGACCATGTCTGATGTAGAAAGCCTGTCTACCTCAGGGAGGAGGCTGATGCTGCAGCCCAGCAGGGCCGAGGCCAGGCAGCCCACCTCCACGGGAGGCTGGGCCTCGGTGGCACCACCGTCCCCGCTGGAGGCCTCGGTGGCACCGTGCTGTTGGTTCCCCACCGCCCCCTCCGGCTCGTTTTCACCCTCGCTGCAGCTCGGGGCCTTGCTCTCCACCTCCGTGTCGCTGCCCGCCACCTCCCGCACGCCGGTGTAGCCGTACACGGGGCTGGGGAGGCTGGTCTCGGGGAGAGTATGAGTCTCGTCGTCCTGTCTGCCAAGTGCCGAAGAAAAGGCAGCGCCTATGGTGCCTGGCCCGCCGGGAGAGGCGCCACCAGGAGGTGGCGATGGCAGCTCCAGAGGCTCCTCACGGCTCTGCCGCATGCCAGGAGCGTCCTGTGACACGGCCTGGGCCTCACTGCCAGATCTGACTGCGTCTCCACAGGGTACTTCTTCAACAGGACAACCTGCTGACGCTGCCACTTCCGCGGCTGGAAGCAGTTTGTCTATGCCTGTCCCAGAAGAGTCCAGATTTGTGGCATCTGGACTCGGATTCTGCTCCGGCGCCTCTTCCTGCATGGCGGGCTCGGTGATGGTGTCTTGGTTTTGAGCTGGGACGTTTTCAGAAAAGAAAGATAATTTATCATTTTCGAGACAATGAGAATTTTCTACTAGTACAGGATCACTTGGAGAGTCAAAATCTAGTTTTCTCCAAGAGGTGGAAACTTCTGGCGAAGTCCTTTTCACAGCAGCCACCTCCTTGACTTTCTGTGCTGTGCCCTCTCTTTCTGCGCCACGTCCGGCCACGGATGGTGGCTGACCCGTCCCGCCGCCAACGCCTTCTGCGGCTGAGGTAGGCTCACCACTGTGCGGTCTCAGGGGCTCCGGCCTTGTGCACTGCGTCCCACTGGGTCGGGCCCGCGTGGTGATCACTGACACCTGGTTAGGCAACAAGGAAGCCACGGCCCGGAGGCCCACGGAGCTGCTCCTTTCTCCGGCGGGTTCGGGCTGGGACGCGGCCCGCTGTAACTGAGGGGACGTCTCCTCACGTTCAGAGCCGGCCTTCAGCCTCTCTTCCTCACCTCTCCCTAACGCGTCGCTATGGCGCCAGGACACGCTCTCGCCAAAACCAAAACCACCCTTGATCCAGCCACACGGAGACGCTGCCGGCGGTGGGAAGGGTGAGTGACTTGGCGTGCGGGCGGCCCCGGGGCCCTGGCTCGCACACTGTCCACCCGTCAGGGCCTTCGCAAACACCGAGTGAGGCAGTGCGCGCACCTCAGTCACGCCTTCCACAGCTTCGGCGCACTCCGCCTCACTGCCGCTCTGCTCACGCAAACCGGATGCTCCCAGCTCGGGGCTCGAGGCAGGCGAGCTGCTCCCCGGGTCGCTTCCCCCCCGTCGACTCCCTGGTGGCTCAGACCGCAGGCCGGACGCGGCTGGAGTTCTGGCGCGTAACTTCTGACCCGAACGGCACACTTCGGTAGGGACGTGTGCATCGCGACACTTTGACGCAGAGGATGTCTGGGGGTCACCGCACACAGACGACGCCCCCGAGGTAGAAGAGGAAAACTTGGCTTCAGCATCGATCCCTGTGGTGTCCATGGTATCGCCTGCATCTTCTTCGGGTTCAGGTGATTCTCCTAAAACAAACCCTTGCGTAGCTTCTCTTTCTTTCTCCAGTTCTCTAGAGAGTTCCTGAAGACAGTCAGACACTGCCATGGGATCCGAGTCAGAAGTGATCTCGTTAGTTGGGGTCCACTTAGAAAAGTCTGATTTGGGTAGGCCCATCACCCGAGACAACGGGGTTTTCCCGTGAGGTGCCAGGAGCTCACCCAGTGGCCTCCTGCCCAGAGGAGAGTAAAGTGAGTCCGACCTCCCGAGGGCCACATCCTTGTCCTGGGCCGGGCCGCACGGCGGCTGCTTGGCACTCTCACTTCCGGTGGCGTGAGGAAGCGCTTCCCCGGCGTGCGCTGACCTATGCATCTCCCTGACCTCTCTTTGTCTCTTCACCGCATCTAAAATGCTGATTGGTCCATCACAGGTGAACTGAGATGACACTGCCCAGTGTTTCTCCCGAGCTAAGGAGAACGTGGCTGAAGGTTCTCTCAGTGTTGCCGTAAATGTCCCGAACCCAACCGTTGTTACTTTGTTTACTTCCAATGTGCTTAGAGCTTGGGCAGCTTCGTGTGATTTGAGCTTCTCCGCCACTGTACCACTTCCTGTTTTTCTGGATGAGCCAAAACAATCCTGTGCCTCAGGTGTATCCTCTTCTGAAACAGACGCAGCAGAATTTCTACGCTGAGCCGAGTCATTATCACTGGAATCTGTATACTCTCCAAAGTAGGTTTCCTTCAAAACAAATGAATTACACCAGTTAGTTAATTAAACACCAAGTCAGGCAACTAAAATAGCAGTTAAATACGTTAAAAAAGTACACGCTCCCTGAAGAACCTGCCAGAACACAGCTGAGCACAGTAGTGCCGTCTCTGGGCACGGCCTGGCTTTGCCCCTTCCTGAAAGCAGGCTGCCCAGGTGGCGCTCCCACACACGTGCCCCCCGTGCCAGGTTCCTCCGAGGTCCGGTCCACACGGCCCAGGGTGTGGTTTCTGGTCCGACCTCCGAGCACTCCCGCTTCTCGGCTCCTCCTGCCCCACACACTGGCTTCCAGCTCTGGCTGCACCGCCCTTACGTCCCTGCACCCGTAAGCCGCTCCTGCACACACGGGGCTCTGCGTGACGACTCGTGCGCACCCTTCCGCACACTGCCTGACGCCTCGCACTGCACCACGCCTGTCAACAGCTGGTCCTGCTCTGCCCCCTACGACGGCTTCTGCGCTGACAACTCTGCCGCCAGTGCGACCCCTCTGGTCGCCAGCTGGGCTCCAGAAACCCTCCATGAGCCCTAGCCAGCCCCTCCTGTGCTGCTGACCACCTGCACCACACGCGGCCCGCCAGGCGAGCTACCTCGCCAGCCGCCCGGCCTCCCCGTTCAGCGAGGGGACGGTGGGCTGGGGAAGGGCAGCCACTGCCGCCACAGCCTTGCCGCTACCAAAATGAGCCTGTCCTCCCTCGAGTTCCAGGGTGTCGTCACCTCCTGGGTCTCCGCCACTGTCCTGCTACTTGTTTCTGATGATCTCTTCCTTTCTACCGGGTCCGTCCGGGACCCCATCCTGCCTCTACGCAGTCTTCCTAAATGACGTCACACAGTCCCACAGCTTCTGCTGCCCCGTCACGCCGATGCGGCCTCACGTCCGCGTCCCACCACGGCGCCGCTCCAAACACCACACCCATGGGTCTCAAATGCACACTGTACGTGTCCACTTAGACACCCCACACGCACCTAGTAGCTAACGCTTTACACGTCACCTCTCCGCGCATGCCGAGCTGGACGACTCCACCTCCCCCGACAACCACACCAAAAACCTCACCAAAGGCTGCTTCACACGACCCCAGGACAGTTTCCCAACCGTCCCCACCTCTTTAACCACAATGCCACTACTGGGTTACGGTGCCCAGAGTTAAAGGAACTCCCGATTCAATGATTGCCCTGTGTATGCTCTTGCTCGTCCCTAACTGTCACCACTCCCTAGCTATGCATGCTGGGAACAAACGGAAACTTTCAAACGAACACCTGTCATCACATCCACTTCTCTGGATCAAGGACTTCCAAATGCCTCAGGATAAACTAGAAAGTTCTCAGGACACACAGGGCCCTTGCGGACCTGAAGTGCGCCAACGTCCCCAGCACCAAGTTTACCGTCCGCCCACGTCTAGGCGTCTGCGTCTACAGCAGCTGCCCCTGTGATACCGCACTCCCTTGGGAACACTGGCTGGGTCCCACCTGCCTGGGGCCGCTCCCCGCCTCCGCCCAGGCCCTCTCTGGCAGGTGTGTTCCCCAGCGCCGCAGCTCAGCTGGCCGTGCAACACATGATCCGCCTGGCACAAAACCCAGCCGAGGGGCGGCCGTACCCGTCACCTCTGCACTCCTGGTGCTCAAAGTGCTGTCTGGGACACACGGGCACGCCCGTGCGTCCTGAAGGAGGGGGCTGACTCGAGGGAGTTGTCTCTTGGCTCCTTAAGCCACGAAGCGCAGGTACGCGTTACTGACACTAACTTCCTAAGAAAGCACAGACCACGCCGCGAACACACGAAGGACAGCGAGCTCATCAAGCGAGAGTGCGGACTTCAGCCACCCACCCCGGCCACACCGCCACCAGTGGCGACTCCCACTTCTAGAGCCATGCCTACGGACGTGCACTCACTCGCTCCCCGCCTGCTAAGTGCCAGGCTAGAGGCCAGGATACCTGAGACACAGTCCTCCCTCGGGGACTACAATTTGGTTGCAAAGACAAAAATGCAAACGTAACAGAAAGTGGAAAAATCCACACTACTCGTGACTTGAAGGGCAGCGGCATGTCTCTGACAGTCCCTCGCTGCTCCCTCATAAAATCTGGCATGAGCACGAACGCTCTCTGAGCCCGGCTAGCACACGAGCATGGACACCGTACCCACGTGCTGACTCGAATTCAAAGTGCAGACTCACGGGTGCCAGTGCGGAAGGTAAGGTGCCCAGGGCTGGTACCGACCCCGGAGGGGGTGACGGCACTGGAGACAGCAGAGGGGGGGGCAGTCTGAAGAAGTCAACAGCAGCCTGCAGGTCCTCATCGAAAACCTGGCCCTGGTCCAGGAGGCCGGCGCTGTCGTCCTCGCTCCTCGGAGCCACCGCCTCGGCGCCCTGGTGTTCCCCGCTGCAAGCGGGCCCTTGGGGCCCCTCTCCCCCCACGCTGCGGCACCCTGAGAAGTCGCCCTGGATCTCCATGGACAGCTCCGCCAGGCACGTCCGCATGGCCGAGGCCCCGGGAGCGCTGTCCACCACCGGAGCCGGCCCGCCGGCCTCCTCGGACCCCCCGGACTGCGGCTTCTCTTGGGCAGGTTTTCCTACGGAAAAAGTAAACTCCAAATATTTATGATAGCAAGAAAACTTAAAAAATTCCCAAGCATTCTAACAGTTTAAAATGCTTACAGAATTGAGTCCAGGTGAAAACATGTTTTAAAGGACAACCGATCCCCTCCCGGAGATTCTCCAGTAACACCTGAACGCTTTTCACGTTACGTCGGCTTCGCGCTTGTGAACTTGACGAGACAGGGAGATGGACAGATGTGGTGGCTGTGATGGCTCTGCAGCGGGGCGCAGGCGACGGGCTCGAGGGCGTGCTCCCGCTCCGTGAGCCTTCCCGCACGGCCAGCAGGACCTGGCATGCGGCTCTGCGCGTGCCGGCCGGCCAGGAACACGGTTGTGTCTTAAAAGCAATCTACACTCAGCTGAGACCAAGCCTGCCTCGTGACCGTATTTGCGCAGCATTCAAATTAAAGAACTAGGTCACGTAAAGACCCTTTATTATAAAGCAACTGAAAAGCTACTATTAAAAAGCCAATGCTTTTGGGGTCTTGACACCGGTGAACAGCAGCAGTGCTAGTTATCAGTAAAGACGTGTGTGTCCCGGGAAGGAACCAGAAACGTCCCTCTGTCACACTGGAAAGCTGCAACGATATGTTCCACGGAAGGACTCGGGGCTCACTGGAGAAGTGGCTGATCACAGGGCTGGGGACGGGGTACAAGCTGAGCCTGAAACACCTCACAGTGCAGAGCACAGACACTAAAGACTAAAGGCACACAAGGCCCATGGTAAACATTTCACTTTCATGTACAATATGTACTTCTGGAAGCTTCTCTCTCACCTGGGACACATCTGGGGCCTTCGCCAGGTACTCTGTGTGTTGTGTTTATACAGAGCCAGAGTTCCTTCAGAAGCAGTTTCACTTTTCCTGTGAAAGAGAACCAAGTAGTAAAGACATGTTATTTGGCTCAATCCACACAAGGCCAAAAAGACAGTCCTTGTGAAATCAGGACTTACTGGAATTTAGAAAAGTTAAGTAACTTAAACATCTTCAACCACTGTGGGCTATTCAGTTAGTTACTGAGGACAGGTCTGCAACGCTCTGGCCAGCACTGAAGGCCGGATATAGGCAGGCGTGCGTGCGTGCGTGCGTGCGTGCATGTGTGTGTGTGTTGGGGGTGGGGCTTAAAAAGACCAAATCTGCCTATTGTTAACAGCTTCGATCACCTCTGGTGGGACAAATAAATCTTTGGCCTGTAAACTTTCTACAGACAGTGATGTCGGTTGGGAGAGAGGCACACAGCTATAAGACAAATTATGAGGCCTGGGCTTGGTGTCCTATGTGTTGGGGGTGGGGCTTAAAAAGACCAAATCTGCCTATTGTTAACAGCTTCGATCACCTCTGGTGGGACAAATAAATCTTTGGCCTGTAAACTTTCTACAGACAGTGATGTCGGTTGGGAGAGAGGCACACAGCTATAAGACAAATTATGAGGCCTGGGCTTGGTGTCCTAGCAGCAGAAAAGGATCGCCTCAGGCCCAAGAGGTGATGGAGCCATGAAGGTCGGTGCTACAACCAGCCCGGGGCTGCGTGGATCATGGAAAAGCCATTAATGGTATTACGGGAAAACGGGATGCTCACACACACGAGCAGAAATACACACAAGCATGAGCTTTTATAAGGAAAGTGAACACTTTGGAATTTTTATAAATTTTCAAAGGGGTCTGAATCCCCAAAATGTTTAAGAGCCCCTGGTACAAGGCAAAAGGCCAAGGGCGGCTGCAACTAAGGAAAGCCCATGAAGTCTGTGTGACATTAGGAATATTGCACTGCGGTCTTCAAGTAAGCTTAGCATCAATAAATGCACGAATTCAAAAAGTATTCATTAAAATGTAAAGTTTCTGGTCAAATCTGCATAAAAAGACAACCCCGAAAAGTTAAAATTCAAAGAAAGTTGACAGGAAGAAATCTAACTCTGGGAGGTGAACACACAGTGTAAATATATACATATGCCTTGTCGTTGAAGTGTACAGCTGAAACTAACTAGATTTTGTTAACCAATGTCACCGTAAAATAATAAAAATAATTTCAACTAAAAATAAACTGAGTATTAAGCAATTTCAGGCCACCGCAAACTTCTATTACAGTTTCCTTGAATTTAAGTTCTTAAAAATTAACTTGAAGCATTTATTAAAAACACTGAAATCTTTAATCCAGGCTAGAGAGTCTAAAAAGACCAACCAAAGAATCTCTGAGGAATCCCAAGTGTTGCCATCGGGCAGCCATGTCAGACCACAGGCTCACAGAGAGGGATGGGCATGGGGTGGGCGGGGGACAGAGGCATGGCAGGGAGGGGCTGAAAACCTGGACATTTCCAACCTCCCTTGAAACGATCGACTTCTGCCGGCCACTGTGTGTGAGGCACATCCATTTCTGAGTTCTGAAATTCTGCGATCAAGCAGCTTATCTACGTCGTGATTTAACCTACCCCAAAGCCTGCTTCCAAACACTGTGTCCCCTTTGCTTAAATGACCTGACCGGGATCCCTGCTTATTACGTATACCCCAAAGCAGCAAACAAGGAACCTTAAAGAAAAAGAAAAAAAGTTACTTTTCTATTCTTACGGAGACTAGTAAATAGAGCTACGCCTATTCTAATTGAGCATTCATTCATTACCTCTAATCTGAGGGGAAAAAAAAAAAAGCTATCTGTTCCCAGCAAAACAGAAAAAAAAATCGTCACTGTGGCCTCATTACTTAGCTGTGAAGAAAAAACGTCACGTGAACCACGCACCTTCCCACAGCCCCTTAAACACCTGCTTCCTTCATCGAGGCCTCAGGCGCCGTGAGTGTCCCGGGCTTTCCACGCCGGTGCCTGATCGGTGTGCACGTGGACACCACGCTTTTGTAATCACAAGTCTTGTAACTATGTTTTAATGTCTGTCTGGAGATGAGCCTTGCTCAGATTTTTCCTTTTCCGAGATCTGAGTATCTCGAGCATCTCTTCTTGCAGATAAGCCTTGCCCGTCTGCTGGCCGGTTCCCACAGAAAACCTCAACGGGAATCCGTGTAAGCTTCATTCGTGTTTAGAAATACGGTCGGGGCAAACGCACGTCCTCGTCCTCGAGTCTGTCGGTCCGGGAACACACCACTTACTTACGGGTCAGGTCTTCCTTAACGCTCTTCGGGGTGTTTCCTAATTTTCCTCCCGGAGGCACGGCACGGCATGCTGCGTTTAGGTGTCGGATGTCTGACGGCGCTGTTGCCATGGAAGAATGGGCTGTTCCTGCCCCTTCCCTGTTCTAACGGGCTTAAGACGACACGTCGTGTGTGTTCACTGTTTTATCACCACTTGTGTTTCCCAGCTGCGTCTTTTCAACTTTCCACAAAGTCATACCACTTGACGTTAGGACAATTTTCACTCGTCGCTCATTGGTGTTTACGGCTCCTGGTCTTGTTTGCTCTGCTGCACGGCTCGGGGACTCCGGAGCACACAGCAAGGAGGGGACAGACTCTCGCTTGCCTTGTTCCTGAAGGAACGACTCTGCTTTTAAGGTTTCGCCTTTCTCAAGTTCAAATGTTTCTATTATTACCTCAACAAACATTTTTTGATAAGGAACTGGCATTGACGTGAAATATCATTTTTCTCTTAACCAGTTGCTGCAGTATTGCTGAGATAAATTCTTAAGTCATAATTTTTCTGTACTCTAAATGACTAGATTTGAGTTCTTAAAATTTTACTTAGTATATTTGCGGCTATATTTCTAAGTCACAGAGCTCTGAGCCTGGAGGATGTGTGTTTGTGTTGTTTCTAACTGGCTTTGGTACAAAGTTATACTGGTCTAAGAAAATGAGACAATATGCATTCCATATTTTTCTAAGTTCTAAAACAAATAAAATAATAATAAAGACATTAGTTCTCACTAAAGGCTATACAGAGCCCTTCTCTGAGCCACCTGGATCTTCTACGGTGTTAGAGGTTTAACTATTTTTATTTCTTCTGCATTTTTTGTTCAAGTTTGCATAACTATTCTCAGTCAACTTTAGTATGTTTGCCTAGAAAATGGTCCACTTCATGAATACGATCAAATGTGCATATCAATCTGTGAATCGAGATATTATCCGACTACAGTCTTATAGCTTTCCCAGCTCGGTCCCGATGCTGTTGGGTTTTTGTTCCTTCCTTTCTTGATCAGACTTGCCAAGCGCTGTCGGTTTCACCAGCATTACAAAAGATCCAGCTATTAGTTCTAATGGTCTCAAATCGACTGGTTAGTTTCCAACGTCATTAACTCACGTTTTCATCTTCATCAACGCCTTCCTTTATTCTCCTGAAGAGTCTGACTTTTCTACCTTCTTAGTAATTCATTTCCTATAATTCTTACTTTCTAAAATAATCACTGAAGACCACACATAATTCCTTTTAATACCATATTGGCACTATCGTCATATCTCAAAAATGTGGTAAATACTGCCTTACTGTTATTTCCAAAACACTTTAGTATTTTTTTTTTTTTCTGATGTCCAGGAGGAGTTTGTGTTTATATGTGTTCAGTTACCAGGCAGGTTTTAAAAATTTTTTTTGGGGGGGGAGGGGTGTATTTTTGCTAATATGTTATTAAACATAAATATATTTAATAGTTCATGTTATAGTTTTTGTTGTCTAGAAAATAGCTTTTACATAAATGCATTTAAAAGGTATTTAAAGAATTCTAGATTTGTGGTGTAAAAGACTCACAGATCATCGATCTTGCAATTATGATTTCAATTCTCTCTCATTTTGTCTGCTTTTCTCTGTATTTCTGAGAAACATGTTAAAGTTTCCCATGAAAACACACTTAGCTGCTGGCCCTGGAATTTCCAAGCGTTTTATTGGAAATAAAAAGTTTCACACGCTTTGGTCCACAATAGCAGTATCTTCTTGGTAAACTGCACTTTTAACCAGTCTAGATATTCCCTTTTAATGCATGTAAGTTCATGTCTAGGCTTGAATTATTTCTTGCCTTACATTACAGCTTTCAAGTTAGCATTTGCTTGGAATTTCTTTATCCATCCCTGCATGTTAATCTTTCTGCTTCTTTTGATTTTAAACGTATTTCCAATGAACGTGCTGGAGACGAGGTCGTACATGAGTCACGGCCAGACTCGGAGGCCTTCCTAGCGGAAGGGTCCCCTCTGCTCTGGGAAGCTCCCTCTACTGTCCCTTGATCGCCTTCTCGCCTCTCACCTCTGCTCCCCCCTGAAGTCCTCACACATGACTGTAATGACATCCAGCTCCACTTTCCAGACTCTTAGACTTTCCCTAATACCTGTAATTTCCTTGTTTTTTTTTCTGTATCACTTTCTGAGACACACACACGATTACATTTCTTGGCTCAATAATCAATCTTGTGTTCTTCCATTCAACAATTCGGCCTTTCTAGTGGGTGTATTTCTAATAGTATCAATATTCCAGAACCCCAACTCCAATTCCATAGCAGCAGCCTGTGGAAATGTTCTTAGACTTTCTCTAAAAATAAAATTCAATCTTTAACATTTTCTATCGGTTCACGATTTCATGTTGTTTCCTCAGAGCCTAGCTCTTGAGCTTGGTGTCTGTCTTTCTTGTCACTGTTTTTTCTGTTTTAGACGAAAGTTTAGGCAGGACATCTTTGATAGCCAGAGTCCATTTTTTCAGACTACATTTTTAGTCCTACACTTTGGCAATAAATACAGGTTCTCATTTCATAAGCATACAGAAGCCCGCCTTCAGAGGGAAGGGCGGCAGAGTGAATGCAGTTTTGAGCATTTACAAGGAGTATACAAATATCTCATGTTCTAGGACCAGGAGCAGCTGTCTTTGAAAGCAGCCATAATTACCCAATTTTCTGATATCTGCACCCATTCTGGGTACCTCCCCTGTGATAACTACACTTTAGAGAAATAAACTTTGAGCCACAGCCTGTGGACAAACTCCAGAAACTGTGTCTGAACCCAGAAGGCTGATCACTGACTTGTCAGCATTCTCCCTTCCTGCCCCTCTCTCTCTGTGCCACCTCTGACTTTTCTGCCATGAAAATGTGCTGTTGAGAGCTGCCATTTTCTCTGTAACTTTGGGCTCCATTAGCAGTTGATACCGTCTGCTTCACATCTCCTCATTATCCTCCACTGGTGCTACACTTTTTAACTATAAATAGTTTTTTTTTTTTTTCCTGTCTGCCATTATTACTGAAATTCGGACCAAAATCAAAAGGAAATGTGGCACTCGGGCCGCCTTTTTAAAAGTGACGTCGACCAAACACTCTTGCTGCCTAACTTTCAAGTCTCTTTCAGAAGGCAAGTGCTACCAGATGAAAAGCATTACAGACGCGCTTAAGAATCAGGAAGTCGGCACCAAGGTCCACCGCTCACTCAGCAGATTCCTAAAGACTCTGTGCTTATCTATCTGGAAAAACTGACATGTACAGCAGACACTATCCCTGCCCTCACAGGGACGGAAAACTTTTTCAGAAAAGAAGTTCCTTGTGACAGTGATGAGTTCTCTGAAGAAAATAAACCAGAAAGTGGGGCAGGGAGCACCTGTGGGAAGGGCTGGGAGGGCCTGGTGCGCAGCAGTGAGGCCTGAGAACAGCGGGCCCGGGACAAGTCTGCGAGTCCCGAAGAGAGAGCTAAACGCAACGGCCGCCGTGAGCTAGCTAGGACAGCCACTGTCGTCGAGTCCTGCTCCTCTCGGCGGAATCTACTACGAGAAGTCTCGCCGCCCACACGCGGAAGCAGGAAGCAGAGTCTCGAGCACACAGCACTACCGCTAGCTGACTGCTAAGCCAGGGCCCCGGCAGCTGAAAGGTGGGGGCCGTCACAGCCTCGGGCCACGGGGAACAACGCTCCTGTGCGCTGAATCAGGGGGAAAAATTAAAGGGGAAAAAAGGATAAAGGAGACTTCTAAAGACGTCTAAGGAGACACCACATACTTGTACAAAAAAACGTTTAAGCGGTCTTAATAATTGTAATAATACTCATTTGGAAGAAAAATAAGATGTTAGTGACATGAAAATACTATCATCTACATTTCAAATGTATCGCTACCAAAAAAGTGTGAGATAGAGCAGAAACTCGCAACCTTCCTTTTAAAAATGAAAAACAAAACACGAAGAAGTAAATGGCCAGGGGTCACACAATGAAGAGAAAAATTAAAATGAAAACCCCAATTTCTCAACTTCTAGCGTTATTCCTTCTCACCTACAAGGTCACACAGTCAGAGATAAAAGGTGCACGTGGACGTCTGTGATTTCCCTGTGACTTCTGTGATGACCACGTGACTTCTTGTGACCTCTGGCCTTCCCTAAATTCTCGTCTTCCAAAAACACGCTAGAGGGCTTGGACGCCACAGTTTTCCTGCCTGACTTTAACAATTTTCATATCGTTGGCACCTAAGAAATTTAATAAATTGACTTGATAAATTGTAACCTAATGAGAAAACTACTTATTTATTGAAAAGTGTGGAAATTATCTCTCTCGTTTTCCTTTCCCAAATAAGATTATTTTCTCGCGCTTTCATTCACTGCACGATGGTATCAGACAGCAAGGTGATGACACATACGCAGATCGAATGAACACAGGTAACAGGGTATGGCTGCTTCCTACACGGAACACCTACTAAGAATTCTCAGTCACAGGTAAGAGTGATGAGCAACCTCCAAAACCACTAAAAGTAAGGCACAGAAATAAAAATGAACTTGGCATATACTCACTTTTATCTATGCTTCCGTAAGAATCACTTGAAATTTGTGTTCCAATATGTCTCAACTCTAAAAATATGGGGGGAAAACAGTTAAAAAAGAATACTGCATGTGAAAATTAAATTTTTAAGTTAGCATTAACTGAGTACTCACCCTTTTCATTTTTCTGTTTAGAAAATTCATCAAGCCTTTCCTGTGGAAACAAAGCGTCAGAGGCGTTAGCACCAGGAGAGGCACACGGCCATCCAGACCCAGGGGACAGGGCACCGACGGGCACTGCAGCCTGTTCCCGCCAGGGCCTCGTCCCCGACTCCGCCATGATGGGACCCTCTACTCACAGAGGAGTCTAAGGACACCTGAAGCCGGAGACCCAGCACGTGCGTACACTGTGCCATCTCTTACCTGTGTCTTCTTAAACTCCTTTTCTAGTATTTTCTTTTCATTCCTCAGTTGCTTGAAGTCCTGAATCTGCTTGATGGCAGCCTCTTTATTTCAAGAGAGCAGTGAAGAGAGAAAAATAATTTACCAACTTGGCGACCACCATTAATGAAATACCCAAAATCTAACCTAGTAAAATTTTTCTCATTTCTTAAAACTCTGGAAGGAACTTTGTAAAGGCTGCTGTTCCTTCGGTACCGTATCTATCAGGGATAAACGCAGAACCCCATGGTGCTCCCACCATCCTCTCCGTCCCCCCCAGAGCCGTATGACTGGCGCAGGCCCGAAGAATCCTCTACAAGCCAGACACAAGCCGACCCAGACCCTCCGGTCAGACAAGATTCTGACACGCACAATCCTCGCAGGAGAGGCCCTGGACCCCTCGTCCTTCAACCACCAGCCAGTCAAGTCTGACAGATTGTGGGCCTGTGGTTTCACCCTGCAGTACGGTTACGACCGTTCTCTTCACCTGGGGGAGGGACAGTCTCCCCGGGGCCTGCCGCGCTCTTCCTCCTTCCTGGAACTCCCTTCGCCAGGCCAAGCCCCAGCTGCCACTACCCTTACTGCGGGTCTACAGCTGACCCTGCACCGCACGGCGACTTGGGCTGCCGACCCCGAGCGGCTGAACGTCCGCAGGTGCCGTCTGACCCCCAGACGTAACTACTGACAGCCCCTGCTGACTGAAGCCTCACCGACCACATCCACAGTCGATGAACATGTGTTTTGTATGTTACATGCATTATTTACTGTATTTTTACAATAAAGTAATCTAGAGAAAAAAAAATGTTATGAAAATCTAATGAAGAAAAAATACATTTAATGTATTTCTTGAAAACCATGTAAGTAATCGGATCTGAACAGTTCAAACCCGAGTCACTAAAGGGGCAACGGTCCCTTCAAGGCACTTTGACAGCTCTCCTCTGTTCCTTCAGCCACTCGCTCCCTCCCGGGTCCGGATCCAGTTCTGGAGAACTGCGGAGTCCGAATACACTAGTAAGGAGCAGAGCAGTACCGACTTTACCTGAACGTTCGTACCAAGTGCTATGAAAAGTCAAATCCCACGAAACACCAGAGCTGCAACCCTTACCTGACTATGTCTTGACCCGACTATCATGCCCTATCACTTGCCAGGAAAAACGTGTCACAAGGAAAATAAAGGCTCTACCTTCACTTCACAAAGTCTGTTCTAAAAGCTGCATGCAGCCTCACAGGCAACTTGGATCTCTTTAAACCCGTTTCCGCAGACTGGTGCTCGTCTGCACACGGCGAGAGCAGGCGCTGCTGCGTCTCCTGCCACAGCGTCTCCGTCTGTGCCGACAACCGGGTCAGAGGAAACTGCTACCAAAACGTCCAAAGGGTGATGGTCTAAAAGATCAGGCTCAATCTAGTAAACTACCGACTAGAAACACTGTCAGCAACTTTTAGTCTATACGCCCTGATCCCACTGAATTTAAATTCTTGCTTCGCACTCTACATGACAAACGCATCGTCGTCTGTCAGTCTGGTGACAAAGCAAACCGCAGGGTCAGGAAGAGGCTTGTTGAAGCCCCACTTTCCTCCACCTGACGTTACTGCCTCGGCCCCACCGCCCAGTGAAGGCGGAAAAGACAAAGACAAAGGATCTGGCCTCAGTTCCTGAAAGAGTTATTAACGACCGGCTGTTCACACGGCCCCTCTGCAGTCTGCCTGGTCAGTGCGGACGGAGCCTCTAAGCCCACAGGGGTGTGGAGGGAGGATCAGGGACAAAGTGACAATCCCCAGTGGAAGGAATCTCATGGAAATCTCTGCATGAGTGTGTCCTATCTAGATACATCAAGTTTCTTAGTACTAAAAGTAGTAACCTTCTCTACTAACCATTGATCTCATTAGGAAAAATGAGAAAGCTCCATGAGATTCAACTTCCAAAGTTAAATGTTCCTATTAGTTGCTGCTTTTTACAGTAAAAGTATGGTTGCTGCTATTTTGAGTGCAATGCCATTTCAAGGATTTGCCACATCCGTTTTCATGCTGCTCTCCAGTAACCGGGAGGTGTACGGTGTTCAAATGTCTTGCTACCGGTACGTTAACACAGTCACCCAGGGTGCGCCATCTAAACCCCGACGACGAAGCTCCCGGATCCGGCCCTGCACCCCGCATGGCGGCCAGTGCTCCGTACACAGCCCAGTGACTTCCACTAGCCAGGTGACAACCATGCCAATTACCTTCCAGCTTCTTCACCTTGGCTTCTAGTTTCTTCTTCCTAAGAATGAAATTTTATAAGTTAAAATGGTAAAAATAAATACACAGTACAACAGGAAAACATATGTATTACAGGTTGTGGTACATTTTTCTTAATTGTGGAGATTTACATGACAAAGACACTGTCAGTCAGGAGTATCACACAGCAACCACGAGGTTCCCAGCAACTTTCTAAGGGCAGGAAGCACTGAGGAATCCGCTGTGCCGTGTGGGGTGTAGCGTTTCTAAAGAGAATTTAATGGATCAAATCTGCGTTTTCCCTCCCGAGCCACAGCGGCCTCTCCGCGTCGGCCCGTGTCTAACTCAGCAGTGCCGCCTCCGGGAGCGCGGAGCAGCTCACACCGCCCGCTCGGGGATGCGCACACCTGTTTCAGGGTGGATTTCTGGATCGAAGGCGGTAACTGTGAGAAGTCTCCACGTTACCCTACGACACGTGACATCAAACCATTGTCCGTGCAGCTACCAAGAGTTCTGTATAAAATACAGTATTAAACTTCAAAAGAATCGACTGGATGCTCCTGACAGCCCTTTCATGAATGGTGACAGACACCCACGCATCTGCTGGGACGCGTGCTCCAGTGCTGGCACACACAGACACAGAGGCGCACGCACACGCGTGGACGTAAACACCTCCGCGGAGGCCCTCGCAGCCCTTCCCCTCGCCACGCTACATAACCCCTTATGCTCTGCTCCGCTCCACAGATGTGGAAACCAAGGCTGAAGGGCTCAGTTCAAGACCTCAGTTAATTACAGCCAACAGACCCGAGGACCACGAACAGAGAAAGACTACTGATTTAAGGATGAGCTCTGTTCAAAGACGAAAACCCTATTTCCATAGTAATTTTAAAACTACTCACTGGGCATCGGTCTTCAAGCATTCTTCCTTTACACGAGCATATTCCTGATGAGTATCTTGATACAACTTTAGAGAACTCTAAAAAGGAAATAGATGTTAATTTAAAAGTCACTAACAATCAGTAATAACTTATTTTGATCTTGAAATGCTAAATTATCATCTTTTACCAGTATGAAATTAATGAATAAATACATTAGGCAGGAAACTATAGTTCACTGAATAGTTCACTGAAACTATAGTTCATTCTGTTTAATGAATTTAAACACACCCTTAATAGACGTATGATTTAATCTCTAATCAAACGAAGCTATAAAATTTTAAAAATACTAATCTTAAAGGAATTACAAATCTTCATAACACTGAATAGGTAATATTTGTCTCAACCAATTAAAATTCAACAAAACATAAAGACATTTTAGAGCTTAATATATACTACTGTTACTACTATGCAAAAATAAACTAGTCACTATACTGAACGAAAACTGGAACAGTGTGTAACACCAGTGAACGCGCACACCCTGATGGCCACTGCGGAGTGGGGCAGACACTGCCGAGTGCTGTCTCAGAGCACAGTGTGTGTACTCTGAAATCTGCACAGCTGAGAGATGGCCTTTACGACCCCTCTTCCCAGATGAGAGGTCTGAGGGTCCACACGCTGACAAGTCACAGTGAGTAAGTGACAAGGGCTTCACGTCCAGGTGTGACTCCAATGGCTCTGCTCCCTCTTAGACAAGCTGATGAGATCATTACACAGTCGGAGGGAGACGCAGCTCAATGCCATGCTTGTCTGTTTCACTTTCACTACGTAGTCAGATACATGGCCAACGATGGCTACAGACATAGGGAAATCAATCAGTTACGGCAGGTGAGGCCTCAGAGAGGGCGAGGGCATTACTCGAGTGGCAGAATTTGAAAACTGAAAGGCACAAACGCCATCATGAGAAGAGCTCCGAGAACAGGAAGACAAGCCGAGAGCCATCCCAGCTTGACCATAACTGGGCTCCTGGAAACCACCTCGCCGTATTAGTTTTAGATATTTCTCACCTACAAAAGCCATGAATTCTCTAAGACGCCTATAAAGAGTAAACCAAAATTTACAGAGGAAAGCAAGTTCATAGCATTTTCAATAAAGTTGATTGCAACTTGATTTTGAAACGCAGGACACGATTTCTCTACCTTTTAAGTGTAAAATTTTGCATCTTATTTTATACTTAAAGGTAAAAAATGTGAAAAGACAATGAATGCAAGACACATAGCCATAAAAATTCACAGCTAGGAGGTGACTCTACTGAACCTCTCATGACGCATAAGCAACTAACATGGAATTATAGAGCTAATAATTACTGTAAGGACCAAGTCATGAATCAACCAGTTCCATCTTCACTAAGTACAGTAATACACCTAAAGAGTCTGGACTGGCATTTCCTTCCTTTGTTGAGATAAGCATGTCCCCTTCCTCCAGTCACAGGCACAAGCGGCCCTCATGTACTAAGGCTAAAGCTATGAGAAGTCACCGCAGGTACCTTCTTCTCTTCCAGCTCTGCTTTTAAAGATCCCAGTTCTTCCTGGCATTTCTGCAGAGGAGAAATTTTCTGAAGCATCTGTTCCACTTGGTGATGCAGAGTACTATTCTCTCTGAAAATGGAGTAGGCATTAACATTACTACATGAAAGAATCTACTATGCATTATTAAATATATCTACTGGTGATTTTTGAATTTTTTTCTAAATTGAAACAAAATAAAGGAATAAAAGAATTGCTCTTTTTAAATGCATTCCCTCTGTTTATAGCAACGTGACCTTCATATTGCTTTTTACTTCTTTGTCATTATAGTCTATTTCGAATAAAAGTATATCGAAAAGCTACTTGAGAAGCAAATACAGGAGAGATTCTCAATCTGGTAGAAAATATATTAAAAAACATTGTGCCAAATAATTTGGCTCTTCTGATCTTGGCCTCATGCCTATTTACTCAAATAAAATGATAGGAAATTTTGTGTTTCACTTTATAACCATGCTTTGCCTTCTTCTAGGTGATAAATGTAATCAGAGTACAAAATATTGCTAGATTTTTACATAAGCGTATTTTAAATTGTTTCAAATATACTAGATAAACAACCTCATTAAACAGTCCAATTCACATAGACAATAATTACATAAGAATAAAATTCATTTCAACTGGCAACATGATCAGTAAACGTTATGGAAATGTCAAACCAGACCATAATTTAAGACCTTCATGAGAAATTCATTTGGACAATTTAATAATAAAGAAAATGTGAATCTTTTTTTTACTACGAGCATCAAAGCAACATTCTAAATAATGGGTCACTCCTATGTGACACTTTGTTCAAATCTGTTTAAATATCTAGGTTGATAAACGCCTCCTCCAAATCAATTATGAAAACAGATAGCTTACCTTCTGGCAAACTGCAGCTGTAAAACTTATTAAGGAAAACTCTGCGAATTTTATCTACTGATACTTGAAGATAAAATTCACTTTAAAATGATCCGCAATGATCTGTGTTCAATATAAATAAAAGCAAGGTCATAATTCCTAGAAAACAACATTCAAAGTTCTATCTATAATGTATATAACATATCACATATATATGATAAAGCTTTTCACTGAGTTATTTCTATTTACCTTACATGTACCAAAAGTCAAAACCTTCACTTCTCTAAATCAAAAAAGTATCTGATTAAATTATCTGGCTGATATTAAATTCCAAGAATAAAGGCAATAAGAAACTTATGGAAAATGCCTTGAATAATCCTGTATATATCAGAATCCCAAACAATCTGTCCTTCATTCCTCAACTAGTCCAGAGCATACTTCCAGCAAACAAGAGTTCTGTCCTTACTAAAAACATACATAACTACACTCAGTGAGTAATGAGAACAGAAAGACAGGGAGAACATAACACCTATGTAATCCTTCACTTTTACGATTTACACAATTTGCTAACTTCGTTTCCCATCTCGAACTGCCGTAACATATTCTAAGATAGTAAAACATAATTCCTTTACGTTTCATCTCCTATAAATTCCTACTTTCAAATCACAATACGGCAAATGTTTGTAACACATCTGCATCCTCCACTATTAGAATGTAACCTCAAAATTTATTCATTCTAATTTACTGCAGTCTTTGCAAGGAAAAAAAGGTCAGCAAATCATCAGATGAAATAAAATAAACTGCCCTGTAAAAAGAAGAACAACAACAACAAAAAAAACAGAATTATACAAAAAAGAAATCAAGTTACATCACAAAGCCATACCGGGCCTGCAACATCGGCACCTCCGGTCCTAAGCTACTACATGTTGAGGTACAACGAATACCTAATTTTGGGTAAACACTTAATGTATTTTTTAAAAAATCACCATTTACCTATAGCTGAGGCAGGACCAGATTACCATTTCACCGGTGGGAATTCAAGAACAATGGAAAGTTTGATCAATTTTTAATGTTATTCTAACAATTTTGATTTTAAAGAAATTTTAGTCGAATTTTAGAAAAAATCAATAATTTTCATGCTGTAATTACTTCATAAGGGTTATGCCATAATAAACACATAGTCTCTTAATACTGGAATTAACTGCCTACCTAGTTTCCTATGTAATTAAAAGTACTTGTAGTAACTGTTTCTGTACAGCTTTCATAAGCAAAGATTACTCATGCAATAATACACATTTATAAACAGTGACAGTTTCACAAGGAGACTTCAATGACATCCATATTTTAATGTAAAAATTCAGATATGAAAAAGGAATTTAAATGTTATTCCCTGCTTCTACTGCTCCAACTCACAGGTTAGATATGACAGTAGCAACACAAACAAGTCCTCGGTGACCTGTTAAGTGTAGAGGTGCCAGAGAAACAGTGAAGTGGGCCTCGGGGTCTGCCCCAATACTGAGGCAGACTCTGCATTCAGTGACTCCCTGAAAATGTACGTGTGTTTTTATGAGAGAAATTTTATTTTTGTGGAAGTTACAAGTCAGGGAATGTGTTATCACAAGATGTGGAAGGATCAATTGCAAACTTAATTTTCACCCTGCCAAAAAAATATTTAACCCGAGCCCAACCACACTACAGGTGGCCCCCACAGCTACTGAATAAACGGGGACTAAGAGGCCGAGAACAGCCCCGTGGATGTGAAATGCCACTGTGACTCAGATCATATACGTGAATTCTCTACGTGTCACACTGGCTAACGTAAGTCAGTTTTCTAACCTTCTGAATAGTCCTGCAGCGTCCTTCTTGCAGAAATCCCCAAATGTTCTACCTGGCTTCACATGACTCCTGCACCTACTCTGCGGCATGTCCTCTGCACAGATGAGGAAGACCTGTTTGTTAAAAAGCTCACGGCGCCTTAAAACGTCAGAATCAGTGACTAAACGAAATCAACTCCAAAGGAAGGAAATGAGCGGCCTTCGCCGGGAAAGGCTCACAGTGGGCGACCAGCTGTCTGCCCTGCACAGCACACTCCCGACTCGCAGCCCGCCCGTGCCACCTTCCAAAAGGTACCTGACAACTCTCAGTTAAGAAAACATGAAGGGATTAAAAAAACCCAAAGG